TTAGCTGTTAGCAGTTTGCTGTTAGCTGTTTACTGTTAGCTGTTAGCATGTCACTTCTGTGACTTTTCTGTTTCCCAAAAATACTTTTGCTGTCATCTGAGATGTTTTCTTTTCTTTTTGTGAGCTTTTACTGTATTTTTTTCTATTTCTGTTGTGTTTTGTGTGCTTTCGCTGTATTTTTCTATTTACTGGTGTTTTCTTAAGTCGCAGTGTGTTTGACCTTTCAGGGCCACCGTACCTGCATATCTATTCCAATGTCATGCTTGCCTGTCGTCGTGACTGTATGGGAAAATGTATCTTTAAGAAACACAGCAACTTGTCTGCTCAGGTTTCAAACAGTTGCAGAGCTTTGGTAAATGAAGGAGCGATGTAGCAAAGTGTTTCTCAGTTCCTCCACCTGCTCTTTGGAAAGTTGTGTCAGTATTTGGGGGAAACAAATCCATGTTAATATCACGTTTGCTGCTCAGCCTTATTGTGCATTTGCTCTGCCAGGAAAGCTAAATTTTCCTTGTTGAATTCTTATAGGCTTAAAATTTGATTTGCAGAATTTGACAGATACGCTGCATCTATCCATCCACCTATCATTCAGTTAGCAAAAAAGCTAACAGCCAGCTAAGCCATCTTTCACCTCTGGCGTCACTTCGTGTACCCGTCACTTTGTCACATGTCCGACTGCTCAGCGAAACACGACGCCAGCGAGGCACCTCGCCCGTGAAAAATCAGATATTCCATCTGCCGGCTTGTCAGAGCAGGTGGCACATGTAACCATTTAGTCAAGTCGACTGTCTACCCCGACAGTCGCCGTGGTGACAGCTAAACGTGCTGCAGAGCCAACGTTAAAAGCCAGGGGACAGCTGACATCCCGCACATCCCGGTGTGTCGGTTTAAATATTCCTCGCGGTGCATCCGACTAAATCTTCCCCCTAATTGACAGAGCAGAGGATGTTTTCTGCCAGGCGCACTGACGGCTGGATGCAGCAGAGAGAGGGAGGGGGAGGCTCGAGGATCCACAGAAATGTCTCCTCTGCTCACTGGCTCACTGTTACTTATGAACCAGTGATGTTATTTTACCTTACAGAATGTGCCAGGGCTGTAAAACACGAGCAACGTCACCTTACATTCATTCAGACGCAGTGGCAATGTGTGCTGCCGAAGAACAGTACTGTTCCCTGCTGCAGTTTCTCTCACAGCAACTAGTTTTAACTTTCTAGTTTTACAGTTTAACATGGAAGTGAGAAAACACAGGGCAGCTTTCTGAGAATAACTTGGATGGACTTTGAATAAGGAATATGGATCATGGAGTAAATAAACCACTGTGGGCAGATCCGAAACAGACCCAGACTGGATCTGAACTGCATCCAGGCTTGATCACGTCTGAGCGTCATTCAGCAGCACACACTGCTGGGAGGAGTCTGAGAGAAACATGGTTTGTTACCACGGTAACTAACTCAGAGTTGTAGCTACACTGGCATTGTTTACTTTTTACTTAGTATTTTACTCCTCGTTGTTTTCTCAGGTTTAAGTCACAAAACTGGTTGTTTTGGTTTAAAGACACACTTTGCTTTAAGTACACAATGCCTGAAACAAGCTGCTTAAGCTCCTCCCACTTTAAGGTAATTTTCTTCTGATTGGGTGCCCCTCACAAACAGTTTGAACAGCAGTGTGTGTTTCTGAAATGCAGCCAGCTTAGATCAAAGTATCTGAGAATAAACATGATCTCAAAACCCTGAAGGATGATTCCTGAAGATATCCGATCAAACCGGTAAGAAAATACTTCTAATGTGGCGAGAGAGGAGGTTGGAACAACCACAGTTTAAAGGATCTCAAATCACTCTGCATGTATTTATGGGAGGGAGGGGGGGCTCAGAGAAAATCAAAACAACAGAAAAAGTAAAGTTGTTTCAAAGCTGTGAGCAGTGTGGATGAGGCTGATCTCCAGGTTGTTGAAAACAGACTCAGAGCAAGTGCTACATTTTCAGGTTGCTTGGAGTGAAAAGCATTAAATGGCTCCAGGGACCGACTAACACTGAAAATGGTGTTGATTGGAAGGATTAGCCTTAGACGAAATAATCTCCCCTTAAAAACAGCTTACAGGCACACAGTGTGAGACAAATTAAAGTCCGCCCATCTGCTTTCTCTTGGTGAACAACTTGTCCAGCTTCACGTCCCTCCTGGCGTCGTTCCCTTTGCCCAAATAAAATGTCCTGTCTGTTTAACTCCAAATTTAAACCCCCAAAGATTTCAGACTTCCTGGTGACATTTTTCCTTTTGTCTGGCAGTGGAGCGTGACGTCTCTGATCAGACGCAGGTGAGTTTTTTAAATTAGTGTTTCGGAGATCATATCTTTGGATATGACACCAAAATGTTCAGTTCGGTGTGATATTTAAAGAGAAAAGCTGAAAAATCTGGCAACAGATCACACATGAAATGATGTGTTTGGCGTCATAAGCAGAGTCATTGATCACATTTGAACTGGAGATGAGGAGAACGTGTGCGGACCAATATCTCATTAAACGCTGGCAGATCCAGAGACCTTGTAGCTTCGACTGCAGTCATTTTAGCTTTTAAACACCAAAACATTTCTATTATGAGTTTGTAAATGTTTGACGTGCACGGAGACTTTAAGGGGAATTTTTAACGTGTTAGTGGCGTTTACCTCTCAGAGAAGATGGTTGGTTCCCTGTATCGGAGAGACGTCCTGCTGTTATCAAAGCACGGAATCTGGAGAGGATTCTCACGCTGCAGCTGGGCAGCCGTTACCTGAAACCAGGAGAAAGTGTTTCTGAAGAAACATTAAAAAATAATCTTTAATGTTTTTCTCCTCGGGCAACAAGGCACAAAATCGCAAATGATGTGTACACTTCTAATACTCACAAATACCCCCACGTCATGACTGGTTTTTAACTGATACCACCTGTTGGCCTCTTCTACCTCCCAGTCAGTGCTGCACAAAGCTTTAAAACCCAAACCTGCGAGGTCAGAATGTATCAGTTACTTTATGAACAATTTGGTTCATTTTCAATTCATTTTCATTTTTAGCACCAAATCATAAAAACAGTCTTTACCTTGTGAAGTACAGACCCTAAAATATAACAGAGAAAATCCCCAAAATCTTTTGACCCCCTATGAGCAAGCACTTTGGTGACAGTGGGAAGGAAAAACTCCCTTTTAACAGGAAGAAACCTCCGGCAGAACCAGGCTCAGGGAGGGGCGGGGCCATCTGCTGTGATTGGTTGGGGTGAGAGAAGGAAGACAGGATAAAGACATGCTGTGGAAGAGAGACAGAGGTTAATAACAGATATGATTCAATGCAGAGAGGTCTGTTAACACATAGTGAGTGAAGAACAAACCCCCAGTGCATCATGGGAATCCCCCAGCAGCATAACTAAGGGAGGAGTCAGGGTCACCTGGTCCAGCCCTAACTATATGTTTTAGCAAAAAGGAAAGTTTGATCTTGTAGCTGTATTTTAGTCCAATTTTATTCGATGAGTAATTGTCTGGGTATCAGGTAAGGCTGCTTTATCTCAGTTGGACACAAGGTGCCTTTGACAGCAGCACGAATCCCAGCATGTTATAGCAGCAGTGACAGGACAAAAACCTGTAATCTCTGTGGCCTCTAATATACTAATGTCAAAATGCATGCAGCATGTGACACCAACATGTGACAACAATGTAGATTTTCTGGCATCAGGACCCGAGGAAAGTGGTTGTTTGTTAAATCTGTGTGCGCCTGGTGTTTTCAGCCTCTTGATTTGCCTCAAACGTAAAAAGCTAGTTTCGAACAAACCTGCTGATTTTGTTGGAAGTCTTTGTTGATGGCTTTATTGAAAGTTGTCTCCCGGTGCTCTTCGACCTCCTCCACCACAGCCACAGGCACAGGACAGATTTGTTTCCAGCACCAATCACCAAACTCAATTTCATGAAAATCAGTGGAGAACTGAGAAAAAGCTCCAACCTTGAGCCGAGTGTACACACAGACTACTGAGAGGCCTGGTTTATTTTACTTTCCTTCTGTTTCTTTAGACATTATACAAAATATAATCTCAGAATTTGTCACAGCTAAACATGATGCATTTATTTTGATTCAGTTAACAGTTACAAACCCAATCATTTTCAGTTCAGTCTGCAGTCGAGACGCATTCAGAGCTGATGTTGGAAAAGCTGGTGTTCAGTTTTACTTCATCTTAGCAGCTGGGACACACCGAGGCACTCACAGAACACAAAATGCATGGCTGACATTGAATTATGACATAAACATGTCAGACCTTTTGGTTCCACTACATGACGGGAAACAGCTGATTTGGACTTTAGGGTCCTGGTTGCACATTTGAAGATGTCACCTTGGATACTGATGGCCACTTTTATGCAATTTGGGGGGAATTTAAATTAACAAGGAAAAGTGTTACCTGCTGATTGCTTTGAAAGAAAATGAGATGGTTCAGAGTTTAAGTTTGCTGGTGTAAGTGTCAGAGTAAAGTATATAAAAGATACCATTAGTTTCAGGACTGTTTTGGCTGCTTACACACATTACACATAACACTTTCTTAAAAGTAATGCAGTTCAGTACTTAATTACTCCAAGGAGAATGTATTTGCATTTCTCTGTAAAATGACCTGAAACAGTCTCGTCGTTACCAGTTAACAGTATAAACCTACAGGCTACATCACACACACAACACAAACCTCTATCATAATGAGGACACACACAAAGATGAAAACACAGCATAAAGACACTCTGAAGCCATTGCCATGGTGATTCTGCTTTAGAAACATGAACAGGTAGAAACGGCGGCTCCAGCCTGACTGCTCATCGGTTTGTTACCTGTTGAAGTTCAGGGTCTGGCTTCTGGCGTCGGCACTCGCTCAGCTTCCACTCTGGGTTTGTGGCTAGCTTAGCGTTAGCATGCTGTCTGTGCAGATGCTTGCGCACAGCTGAAGTTGTGTTAGCAGCATAATGCAGTTGTTTCTGTCCATCGTGCTCTCGACCTTTTCATGTGACAGATATAACAGTAACGTCCATATCCACTGTAGACCGCGCCGCTTTTCCCTCCTCCAGCACACAAACTCAAATCACACGATTGTGGTGCAAGTGGAACCGATAAGTAGGATAGATACACAAGCAGATATCAACCGGTCTGCTAACACTCTCCAACCACCGAGCAGCAGTGAAAAAGTCAAAGCACACCAGAAACTGAGACCATTTGTCTTCAAAGTAAAAGTCATGCCTTACTGCTTTTACTTTGAAGGCAAACAGTCTCTGCTTCCAGTCGCACTCTTCACATTTTCACAGTTGGTTGGTAAGTAGTTGTCACATGTTTGCAGACCATTTGCAGACTACTGAGGACAGCAGCAATCTGTGAGCAACCAAAGCAGTGCAGCACATTTAACAACAGCAAACAACCTCCTGAAAACACTCGCCAAATAGTCACACATTTTTACCCAGCAACTGGTGGTTACCATGGAGTCCCTGACCGATCTATAGGCCTGTGTGACTGCAGCCTAACACTAACAAGGTATGGGTACAACGAGCAGACACAGATACCCGTTAATCAGTGGCAGTGATCAGGGCCATGCCAATAAATCACTGGAACTGCACTCGGCAAACAGACATTATAATATACGAGTCTACGAGGACTGATTCTTTTGGATATTAGAGGAAGTGCTGGTTTTGGCACAGTTTACCCTCGGAGGTTGCTGCTTCTTGACAATATCACGGTAACAGTTTGCATTAAGTAGAAGAGACGTGTTGTCAGTGACACATATCAGAAACAGATTTGTAAACCATATTTCTTTATTAAAGTTTAAGAAACTCCAAGCAGCATATTCATAAATAAAATAAGGGTCTCCCTTAGATGTACTGTGACAGTCTGTATGCTCTGACAGTTCATGTTTTCATCCTCTGTCGGGGTGTTGGAGTTCGAACATAAACAGGACACACGTAGGCCCTTATCGCCCCGCCCTCCCGGTCACTTCCTCATTGCTGACCAATCGTAACCTCGCTCTGTCCGTCCGTCACGTGGTGGAGCACAGTGCAAAAAGCAAGTTGGTTCACGACAGAGAAGCAACTACTGACACAGTAAGAAAACATCCATATAGAGTGTGTTCAGATGGGAGCTGCGTCAGAGTCGAGGACCGTCACGTTTCTGCGTGTCCGTTTACGCACAGGATGAAACACATGGCAGGTTTTACTTGGTGTCACCGGAGAATTGGTTTTCACACAGACACAGAACATTAGCGTTTCAGCAGAGCTCTAACAGAATCATGGTGAAACTGAATAATGAACATTTCTGCTTGGCAACAACGTAAATCTTCACAGTCACACGTTAAACTTTTTCTTCCCAGTTCAATGACTCAGATTTAATACAGCTATGAAAAACAAACCTTGGTCCTATGATCTGAGTGATTCGGCACAGTGCTTTTACAGTTACATTTCTCAAGTGATCAAGAATTAGGAGCATGAATGAACAGCAACAGAACCAAGTATTTTATCCACACTCTAAGGTGTTACGTGAGAGCGGTACTGCGTGTATGCGTAGTCGGGGACAAACTGTAAATGTTACCTTTAACCTGTCATTGATAAGAGCCATAACATGCTTTTGCATGGTGCGAAACAAAGAAGTACATCGGCTTGTCATTGGTGTTGGAAGAATTTATTCCTAAATCTCTGTGTTTTGTGGTTGAGTCTTTAACAGACCACTGGATTCAATCAGCCACAACATTAAAGCCACCTGTTCAACAGCTTTGGCTTTTGGGCAGTGGACCCATACTGGGGTTTCCGGTGGTATCGAGGACGTAGATCAGATTTGTTCTGGACCGTTTTTCAAAATTTTGATCTGGGTCAACACCTCGGTGTGAACACTGAAAAATACTGGACAAATAGGCTTTGTTGGGGATGTTTCCAAGAGTTTACGAGGTCACATTTTTTCCTCGGGTTGTAATTGTTGGATGTGTTGTGGTTTAGTAGCAAACCTATTTGAATTAATAAAGAATGTTTTTATTATTCTGGTGTCAAATTGTTTGCTTGAAAAGCAAAAAGCTCTGAAGGATTTTTTTCATTTGCAGAAACTTAAGAGTTGAGCTTAATATGATGGAGACTGCTGCCGTTGGGGGGCACCCTTAAGGAGACATTAGGGAGTGTGCTTGCTCTGCACACAGTGATAAAAGCATCATCTACTTCACTCCAGGCTTCGAGGGCCGGTGTCCTGCAGGGTTTAGATGTGTCCTTGATCCAACACAGATGATTTAAATGGCTAAATGACCTCCTCAACATGTCTTGAAGTTCTCCAGAGGCCTGATAATGAACTAATCATCTGAGTCAGGTGTGTTGACCCAGGATGAAATCTAAAATCTGCAGGACACCGGCCCTCGAGGCCTGGAGTTCCCCACCCCTGGTCATCTTTTCTAAGGGACTGCCCAAAAACAACTCGCTGTTAGAAGGCTTCAGCTCCAGTATTTCTGCTGTCTGACTGTCTGTCTGTAAGAATATAGTGGACATACATGATATGGACACTTAAAAATCTTTCAGTCTGGGTTTCCCCAGTGTGGAAGAAGTGCTGTGCGACAGAACCGGACAGTAAAACCTCCACAGAACGCTTGTGTCTGTAGTTTAATGAACGAGTTAATCTGCCGCCTGTCCAACAACCACAAACCTACCAACAACACAAGATTCGATGTCCAATCTACAGTTTTGGAACTAAAGCTCTTCATTCTGACAAGTTAAGGTTCCTCAGTTTCCTCTGCCCACGTACACGTTCTATAAATGGAAAGATGAGCGGGTCTGCGTTTTGCTGCTAATGTCCTGAAAACTGTGTGTGATCAACATAGATCCGAACAGCCAGCGTCAGGCTAATGTAAATGAAGTCGACAGTCATTAGGCCCATAGATGCACGTTAACCGTGCTTGTAAAAGCAAAAAGGTGGGGGTGATATGGTCGTTTTATATATTTCTGTTGTTAAATACTTTTACCATAAATGTTCCTCTCACAGTATCCTATAGAGAAAATACTATCCAGTGTTTAGCAAATATATTTAACTTCCCTCTGTTTTACAAGCAGTTGAGGTATGGCACCTGCAGAACGGCCATCATCATGAGCCTCTGTCTGCACTTTGGGTAATGACGCCCTCTGTCATCCCTGCAGGTGATAATGGATCTCATTAGGAATGACTTGTGGAAATACGATGCCTCTCTGAGTCACTCTCTCACTCCTCGTTAGAATAACTGCACTGCTTTGCAAGAAGAAACTTGCGTACGAGAGCGTGACGTAAAATTCTCGAGTATAAAAATTAAAGACATATATATTTAGTACCTTTATATTTTTTCTTAAGGTTAAGGCTGCGTTCACACCGACCGCTGTTGGAACTCGGCCGAGCTTCGATATTTGGCCACAAGCGAAGCATTACGACTGCCTGAAAACAAAAGTGTCGGCCCTCCTTTAGGAACTCTGTGGGAGCGGTTAGTAAGAGTAAGGATGGAAAGGCGAATACGTTTGATCTGTCACAACTTTTCTTGTGTTTCAGGTCTGTAATTTCAGACTTTCAGATTTCGACTGTTGTCGAAGTTTTTTGAATAAATTAATAACCATCAATCGTTCTGGCACCAATTTGAATCTGACACTTCCTTCAAATACAAACAGAAGCTCAAAAATATCAAATAAAATGACTACCAGGCTGGCTGATACTCTGGACCGTTTCTGGTTTTTTGTATATATTTGGCTAACAAGAGGGTCTGTCTCAGAGTTGGGAAGCATGCCAGTACTTGTTTTAAATTGGTGCCAACTTTTCATTAGTCTAAAAGCATCTGGACAGAGTTTCATAGAAAAAGACTGTAACTGATTTTCACTGGTTTGCTGGTGGTGCGATGAAGAAGACGAACTCTAAAACTATTCATCATTTAGAAGGTGCAAGCATCTCTCTGAAACCCAGAACAAGTGTTTTTGTGTTCCTGATTTCCTCATCTCGAAGTCGGGTTGGTTTCTGTTTGATGTCTAAAGGTCTGTGGTTCATCCAACCCTAAACATGTTCATTTCTTTCCACAGCTTAAAATACAGAAGCAATTCTCGTAATTTTGAAGCTTTAACGTGACCCAGAAAAGGTTTTTGTAGTAAGTGGTTAAACGGGACTACAGAAACTGTTGGATTTCATCACGTCGAACGTGCGACTGCATTTACAGTTCAAAAATATGATATTTGACTTTAAGACTAAGACCTGTACCGCGTGGGTAGGGAGCCGCGGTTCTACACCCTGTCGTGTTCCACAAAGAGGCCAGGCTTGCATGACTGCATCATCGTTTGACCTAAAGACAGCGGTCGGTGCGCTCGCAGCCGTACGTACTCTTCTTCGCTCATTTGCTCGTCACAAACAGACTCTCACCTGGACAGTACTGACGCCAAATAAAAACTCGCTATAAAAACAAACCATTGAGCTGTGTGTAAAATATGAACCCAATAAAAATCCGCTTGTTCCCCTCAGTGTTTGAATGAACATCATTTACAGTCAACGTAAGAAAAGAATGTAGACTTTTGCTTGGAAAAAACTATGTATATTATATATTTAATACAAATGGGGAAAAAACAAAGAGTGATTTTTTTTCGTCCGATGCTGAAGATATATATAGGGTTGGTACAGAGGTGCATAACAGTAGGTGTCCACCACTAAAAATGTCCCTACAGCGGTGCATCATGGGTAGTCGTTTACATCAATGAGTTGTGGAAAGACATCGTTTAATTTCGGCACTTAGAAAACAATCACAATGAATTTCGCGTCATTGTTTAATTGAACAAAATTTACAAAGCCATTCAAACAGTCATAACTTTTTCATCAATGTTTATATTTTTTTTATCTCATTTTGTTTGTTTTTATAACTCAACTTCAAAAATTGAGAATATTCAAAATACACTTTAACCTCACTTCGTTCTCTTGGTATTTACAGATATGTACACGAGAAAAATTACACCCTCCAGCCCGCCGCCCGCTTTTTGTTGTTTTTTGTTAGATTTTTCGTGTGTGTGTTTCTGAACAGATAGTGAGATACAAAATCTTTTTACTTTGTACATATATGTTTTTTTCCTCTATAATAATTTTCCTCTAGGGTTCCCCAACCCGCCTCGCATCCGAACCTGGACCTAGGTCCAGAGAGCAGCCTCCCTCCCACCCACCGCCCCCTTTTACCCCTCCGATCTTATATCGATGTACTGTGGGTGGCCTCAATGGCTTCGGGTATGGGTCCTGCGGAGACTGCCTGGTAGGACATTGGCATGGGTGTCTTGCCAGGGCTCTGCCGGAAGAGCCCCCCGTTGGGTGCCCTGTGTTTGCACTGCATGGTGCCGCTGAGGCTGGTGCTGCTGAGCGGGTGGTGCGGGGGCAACGTGCTGCTGCCAGGGCCCTGGGATGGGGGTAGCGTCCTGCCTAGGGTCCCCCCATGGTGAGGATGGGGAAGAGGAGGAGGTGGTCCCCCCTCCCCGGGGAGGAAGGTGGTCACAGCGAGGCCCGAGGGCGGGTAGTCCCGCCTGGACTCCGGGCCCGGGACCAGAGAGGCCTGGCTGGGCTGCATGCTGCCGATGTCCAGCGCAGAGATCTCGATAGAGGGGCCGGGGATCTGCTTGTGGGCCAAGTCCTCGTCCAAAAGACTGTTCATACGACGATGCACCTGTTCCAGATTCACCTCCTTGTCCTATAAGTTGAGGAGTGGGGCGGTGGGGTGGGGATGGAGGAGGACAGTGGAGAGACAGGGGGAGGGAGAGAGGGAGGGAGGGACACAGAGGCTGAGATTGGCGATGGGCCGATTTCTCAGACTGATTCAGGTCAGCGTGTGCTCCATGCATTCTCAATCTGATATGGGTTTTTTTTTTTAACTGACGAGCTTCTATCAGCGATCCAGCTGATAGACCGGCCCGGTTTCATTTTGTAGTCTGGTTTGAAGAGCCCAGTGGAAACTGAGGCCACAGAAACCAATCTGAATGTGCAACTTGAAATCAAACTTGGCCAGTGAGCAGTAAAGGCTTGATGTATGGAGGAAACCGACCCTGGAGCCAAGCTGACTGTCGTGTGCTGCAGAGCTGTTGGAGGCTTGACTATGTCGAGATTGTCATGAATCACATCTGAGATCAATTTTAGATTCATAAACTGAAGCTATGTTTGTGCTTTCTCTGCCCTCGCCGCCCTCGGAGCTGCTACTCTCGTCACAGGAGGATCAGAGAATTGGTTTCCTAGCAGAATAATTTAATCGCCACACTGGCTGACGATGCATCTCCTGCTGACTGCAGACATGCATACTTGTTAGGTATTAATAGACACCCGAGTGTTTCCCTGTTGAACCGCAGGTCTGCTTTAGTACACTGGTCAGGGGAAGGTAAAGGACGAGGGGCGTGCGGGAGGAAGGAGGCGTGATTCGCATAGTGAAAGCGAGGCTTTGAATCTGAGGCCAGATTCTCGACACGTCCGCGTGCGACTGCTGCAGCGCGGCCGGATGATGTTTTAGGAGAGGGTCTTAAAGCGGCCAATCGCTTTACAGCAAAGCAGCTAACATTCCTGAACGCAGCCTGGCTCCAGCATCGGGCTCGCTTCAGTCCAGAAACACAGTGAGATTAGTCCCAGGAACTCACAGTGACACCGGCGACACTCAACACAATGCACACGACACATTACAGATTAATACCACATACATATTCAGTCATGGTGCAGTGTTAGCAGCACATAATACAGAAGGCATGCAACTACCCCACCCCCGCAGGTTTGATCATTTCGAGTTTGTTTTACTGTCACACTGTTGGGATTACTACTGGCATGGACTGAAAATCGCTGTTCATGATTTTATTCCACTGATAAACAGATCATGTGACTGTTCAAAACGTTCTGGGCAGCTTTGTTAAATTATGAGAGATTTTATGAGCTCAGACAAAAGACATTTGAGAAGCTTTACAGCTACGACACGTTCGGAGCACAATCAGACCGTATTCTGGATCCAGGGACTGGATGCATGACACAAAGTGAATTTTCAGTCAGGTGAAAGGATGCAGTCTCAGACTGCTAATGTTAAAAATGTTAAACTAGCAAACCAGCAGCTGGCTTTAACTGCAAACAGTGAGTGCTGTGTGAGGGCCGGTTCTCTGCAGAGCACTCGAGTTCACGCGGTGTTTGGTGGTGGTGTCGATCTGACTGAGAAGCTGAAGGACGCCGCTTGCTCGTACGTTGGTGACCTGCCGATTACACGCACTCCTAATCACACCCTGCTTAGTCTTTTCTTCTTGCTCGTAGATTAAATGAACCGAAGCTTCATTTTCTCAGATGCTCCTGTTGGCCAGTCGACACTCTGTGTCACCAAATCTACCCAGGACCTGACCTCAGTGCTCTTTTAGTTAGCAGGATGAAGACTTAAAATGAAAAAATCAAGGGAGAAGTTTGTCTCGGAGTCATTTAAAGTAAAGTGTGAGCCGTGCAGATGAACATTTCTTCATGTAGAGTGGTGCAGAGAGCCCTTCTGGTGGAAACACACTAGCGAAGCCTCCGACTCTCAGAGCGTCTCGATGCGCTGCGGTAGAGCAGCGCCGAGGCTAATCGTGTACCTTTGTTCCAACCTTTAAGCAACACACGAACATGCAGCGTGTTTGCTTTGAATGATCCCACTCCAGCCTCTGAGAGCTCCTCTCAAGCCAATTAAAACATCTCAGCTCAGGTTATTGTTTCAGCCGACCAGCGCCTCATTAAAATATGTTTTCAAACTGGCAGCTAGCCTAAATAAATAAATGCCAGGGATTAAACCTCAGCCGGTCGTTAAAGGCAGGCTGGTGATGTAAGTGCAGAGGAAGAACAGCCGTCTGAAAGTCTCCATTAATTTGGAAAACAAACAGCTCTTTTAATGAGTGCTCCCACTGGGGGGCCTTTTAAATCACTCTGCTTCCTGCTACTTTGCAAATACTGTGACTGTCGAGTGGGTTGTGCTCAAGTGCGATAAGAACAGTTACAGATTGTTTCTGGTTCATTTTAGATTCAAGTGGCCCTGCGAAGATGAGCGAAGGCTGTTCTGCACGGCGATCGCCTCTAACACCGACATCTTCCATCTGATAACGTCTTATTAACCAAAGGTCACCATCGACTGTGTCTCTACATCCAACCCAGCTGAGGAGAACTTTGCTAGATGTTGAGATTTGGTGGAAAGATGAAAGGTCAAAGTTGTCTTTTCTGGTTGTATAAGGAAGTCATTTCAACTCAAAATTTAGTTGAACAGTGAAAGCACATCTCTTCCTCCTGAACACCTCTGCACCTCTGACCAGCAGCTTCTTACGAGGATATGTTTTCACTGTCCAGAGGCTTATTATGAATAAGATCAGCAAAGGAGAATCATTTCCATTTAGACGCCGCGTACACTGTTATATAGTAGGTAATACTTGACTGTGTAAGTTGGTCAGAACTGCCAATCAAGCGCAATAAAAAAGATAAAAGACAAGAACGTGTGTTTGCATTTCTGTTTTTAAATTAGCAGCAACGCGTGAAACTGTATCCTAGTGTTTTCATTGTTGCCATCTCAGCGTTCTTCAAGAGCACTCGACTGTCCAGCTGCATGCTCATTGGCCAGTTTTGGGCCTGGTGAGGGTTGTACCCTGGGTAATCTTCTTTCTTAAACGTAGAATGACCAAAATCTACAAAACTTTATTCATCCTTTGTGACTTGAAAGTAGCCACTGAGGTCCAGGCAGAGGGCCGTGATCTTCACTCTGATAGGACCAGATGTCTTCTTGCAGGACTTTGTGCAAGAGTCTTTCTTTTCGTCTTAAGAATCGTTTTTCCAATATCTTTCCAAAATCCTGGAAAAGTGTTGTCACCTTTCAGTTTTCAACCAAATCTCGATAGTATAGTGACGCGTTTTAAAAGCCGCAGCTGACTGGCGGATCTGTGCGCTTGCTGGAGCCCAAACAAGCCTTTGGATTTTTGATTATTCGTGAGGGGCTCTTTTTGTGCCATGGTCCTGCTTAGAGGGAACCGCCACTGTTGCTCGATGCAAAGTTGTTCAGAGTGATTTGATTTATCGGTGACGAGTTATTTCTATTCCAGAATTAATGGGGTGCTGCAATTTGTAGATCACAAGGGCTGAGGGTGACAATCATGTTAATAATGCTGTCACTTCATCTCAGTCCAGCTAAATGTCTGTGGAAGATTTTGGAGTAAACGCTGGACCAGCGTCTCTCGCACCATCAACAAACACTAGATGAGTTCATCTCTCCAGCAGACTTCTAGAAACTTCTAGAAAAGTCAATGAGCACAAAGTAGCCCGACATCTTACCAACACGTGTTTCCCATCAGTTCTACGACAGTTCTGTGTAGGTGCCAAAAACAGTCCATGTTTCAGCAGGTTTGAGGAATTTTATGTGGCAAAGAGACGAAGACCAAAATAATCCTTCGTGTAGGACTTGAGACCCGGAGGCTTCCTGCCAGCTTTCCAGGTGTGATTTAAAGGTATCGTTGGTTTGCTCTTTACCACCAACTGCAGTTAGTCCTCCTGCTGACCAGCCAGCATCACCAAGCGCGTTTAAATGGAGGAGAATCCTGTTTTACTGCAATACTGATTTTCAAAAACAGTCAGTTTTTTAATGAAAGAGTTAAATTTGCTCAGTCATCACTTAAATAACAAACACAGAAATGCTGAACAAAAGCCACAGACGTCTGGAAACATGACACACGGCATGCAGTCCTCAGGAAGCAGGTAATAATATTCATCACGCGTGCAATAAAATCCAGAACAACATTTCTGTGTCTTCATTTAATCGTTGAATCCACAACGTGGTCAAAGCCTCCAGATAAGCACACTCGGTAAAGCCGCAGTCAGCAATCATCTACAGTCTTAATCATCTCGCTGTCTTATTTTAGGCTTAGAAACGAGCAATAACCGATAGGTCAAAACTTTATTACCAGCTACTGACACCATAAGATGAAAGGTCAAGTGAGGCAAATCGTTTCTTTCAATTTAGATTCAGCTTGGCAAAGCAAAACCATATTTTCTGCGTTCGTCATTGTGGTTTTCAGTCGATCGATGGACATCTTAATCAATAAAGTGCTGCTGACCCAGACGCTTAGGCCAGAAGGTCTTGATACAAGTATTTAGATGAGTGCATGACTTTCCTAAGCTGTTATTGACCTTTATTTTCAAAACGTCCGAGAGCTCTCAAAGCATCGATCAGAACCTGTGCAGAGGAAAAACGATCCAGGCGCAGGTGCAACATTTTTTCAAGGAGATCGCCGGGTTCACGGCGAGTGACATCACATGTGAACGCCACACTGTTCAGATTGAACGCTTCAGGCTCCAGCTGCCACTTCAGTTGACTGGATAATTTTTACAATGAAATCTGAAATGGAGTCTGGCTTTGTGAAGCTAATTTGCTGTTAGCTAAGTGGCTCTCCAAAAGTCTTAAAGTCAGACTTTTTCTAATGCAGTCTGGCTCCATCAGGGAAATTTGCCAGCTGCCACTTTCGCACAGCAGCTACTTTGAGCTGATTGAGACGGAGAAACAGAAGGTACGATCAAAAAGACTTTGCCTGTGAAAAACAAAAAAGATTTTCTTACATGTGGGAGTTTTCGTGTGAGTTTACGTCAAAGATAAAAGCTGGTTCTCCATCTACAACCCAAAGACTCTTCCCCTTAAAACCCAGAGGCAGCACGGTGGCACGGTGGTTAGCACTGTTGCCGCACAGCAAGAAGGTCCTGAGTTCAATTCCACCATCAGGCCGGGGTCTTTCTGTGTGGAGTTTGCATGTTCTCCCCGTGTTTGCGTGGGTTCCCTCCGGGTACTCCGGCTTCCTCCCACCGTCCAAAGACATGCAGCTTGTGGGGATAGGTTAATTGGATAATCCAAATTGCCACTAGGTGTGAATGTGCGTGTGAATGGTTGTCTGTCCCTGTGTGTTGGCCCTGCGACAGACTGGTGACCTGTCCAGGGTGTACCCCGCCTCTCGCCCTATGACAGCTGGGATAGGCTCCAGCGCCCCCCGCGACCCTGAAAAGGATAAGCGGAAGCGAATGGATGGATGGAGTTCAGTATCCAGGGCTGAAAGTGGCCCAACCAGAAGCATCTTATACTCTCCAGGGTCAGATGCAAAATTCTGCTATGACTTCCTGAGCTGTTTCCTGAAGCTTCTCAGTCACCTCAACACGATTCACACTCACTGCTTGTCCTGTGAGAGATTTGGCTCCTTGCAATGTTAAAATTAAATTCAAGGCAAAGGTTTGCAAATGCACGTGCAGGCCTTCCACGGAGCTGCTTGCTGGTTGTAGGCACGATCACCAATATTCTTATGGCCACCAACTCAAAACTAGCCTTATCAGGCTTTCTGATATTGAGCTGCTCCATTTCTCGTAGATGTCTTGATGAATTTTTAAAGGTTTATGCAAACACTGCTCAATAAAAGCTGCGTGAAAGGCACTGAGTTTGTCGTGAACCTTGGTGATTCTGTTCTCCCGAAACAGGTCAAACTGAGGTGTGAGGTCAGCCCTTATGAGATGTGTTCAAACAGTTAAAGATGACCAAATGAGAGAAAGCAAGGAGAAACAGAAAAGGCACCGTGAGAACCAGGAAGGTTTCTAATGATGACGGGATGCAGCGTTAGTAGCGAGTTCTCAGAAGGTTACAACTTTATCATCTGCATAGAGCAAAATCCTAATTCTTTATTTTATTATTATTCTACACTCCTCTAATTAGCAAACTCTGCTTAATAAGCATTATACCAGGGGAAGAATGAGTTCTAACCTTTAAGATGATCACAGACATAATTGAATTTGTGCTGGAAACTGACAAAAATGACTTCCTGTATGCCTGCAGATTTAGTTTCAGAAAATCAGAAAGACTTTAACCCCCGAAAGGAAAGAACAAAAACAAAGAGGAGCTTGGCGACGGCACAGATGTGTTTGATTTCTTTTGTCGTATTTTAGAAGGTTGTATATAGGAGGTCTATTCTGACCTGTATCAATAGCTTCTGCTTCATCCCAGCCTCTCTCTCTGTCTGTCCAAATGTCCCTCCTCCCCTCCGATGAAGCAGTTGTAATGTCATTATATGTCAATGGACCAGAAACCCTTGCCAGCCTGTAATCCTTAGTAACCTGCACGAGATCATAGACAGTCAAGTGTAAATCAAAAAATGAAAAGGATAGATGGAGAGAAGGAGAGGAGATAGATAACAGGGGTGTCCACATTGACATATAATTTGCAATAAGACGTGACACAGTGATAGAACCAGGGGTTATGGACGGGGATGTCGGAGACAGATCTTATTGCTAAAGGGTGACACACCCGGCGTGCACACTGCCTGCTCACACTTTAGTTTATGGATCCACATCGAGGCCTTCCTGCCCGTTTGTCCCCTGTCACATGACTGAAGCCTGTCTGGGGGTGTTCGCACAGTGAGGTGAGGTCGGCCCTGCGTAGTGCTGGGAGGTGTATGTTGTTGATGTCTGGAGGTAGGACATGGAAAGGCAGGTCTGAGGTCAGTTTCGTGTTCGAGCGGTGTCTTTGGTAGCGCCCGTGTCCCCGTTTCAAACAATATACAGACCACACAATAACCACTGTAACACACAGCACACACGTCAGTATCAGTGTAGCCCCAACATCCATTCTCCTCCTGTATTTCTGTCCCACCATCATGTTTAACATTGAATACTTGGTGGTTCTCAACCAATAACAAACGTCATGCATGACTGGAAGGAGGAGTCAAAGGCTGAATGGAGCTAACTTGGGTTTAGCATCGTACGTTTTGTGGAGTCAGAAGCGACCACATCGTAGTTATCAGCTGATCATTAATCTCTTTGTCCCGCCTTCCTCCCCTCACTCCTAACCTGTCGCAGCAGATGGCCCGCCCCTGGTTCTGCTGGAGGTTTCTTCCTGTTAAAAGGGAGTTTTTTCTTCCCACAGTCACCAAAGTGCTGCTCATAGGGGGTCATATGATTCTTGGGTTTTTCTCTGTATTATTGGAGGGTCTTTACTTTACAGTTGTCTTGAGGCAACTGTTGTTGTGATTATAAATAAAGATGTGAGTAACTCTGGTCACTCAAAGCTTATTCAAATGATGCATGTGACATAATTTCAGTTTCACAGAGGATTGTGGGTTTTTTTGGTAATTTGAACTCACTGTGGAACTGCCAAAAGCTGCAGTTCCTCTCTTGTCCACTTGGGGCTGTCCCCATCAGTGAGTCTTACCGCATAGACTCCAATGTTGACTGGCAGGTGGATGGTGACACAGGCGGCTGCAGCTGCTAGCTGTCTGCTATTCTCCACCTCAGCCAACTGAAGTCCCTGAACTGGACCTGTGGACCATGTTTGTGCTGCTGGAACATTTTTAATGACATTATCTGACCAACTATATGGCTGTTGGGACGTTGTTGTACTAACAGACCTTTCTAGAAGTCTGAGCTCCAGTTTTGGTGCACAGGGAGACTCTAGGATGTTTATTAGCAGATGTCTGGGTGGTTGAGACTTTACAGGGAGCTTTGTGCTGCAGGTCAGTGCTTTCTGATGGGCTGCTTGTTGAGTTGTGATGGGGCGTCCAAATTCATCTGTAGTTGCACGCTGCACGCTGCCCTGTGTTGGTATTGTGTTATGTGAGGCCAGCTGATCTCTGTTCAAAGCTTTTATCCTCTCACACTGACACAGAAGCAGACGGCTGCCTCGCTCTGTTCTCTGCAGGCTGATGTCTGAAGCATCACTCTGCACAGAAATCATCCGACTGAAGGTGTTTCCGGTGTCAAAATGTCCCATTTAAACTTTCACTCATGTCCATATTTCATGCTGAGTGATGTCACAGCTCTGGTGTGAGGAGATTGGCTGCCACTAACGATTATGCATGAAACCTGATTATTAATGACTTAGTTTGCGATTGGATATTTATTTTAATACTGACGGAAAGTACTGATCTTTGTTACTGAGTTTCCTGCACGCTTGCTTCTGTGGCTGCAGACAGAGTGAAAGGTTATGTTGATGAGCTCCCTGCATAAATCTTTTGTGGCCCTTTCAGGGAAAAAAGCTGTAAAAAGCCACTTTGCACAGCAGACAGTTGGAGCCCAGCGAGGTGAGCAAAGTGGAACATTTAGCAGCTAAAGAGCCGCACGTTCACGACTCCGATGGGACGAAACTCGATGAGCTGATGCTGAATTTGTTTTGGAGTCAGATTTTGTTATTGAAGCTTTATGGCCTGTTGCAGATGTGCAGCAGCAGCAGCCACTGAAACTGTCAGATTCTCATCTGCAGAGCCAAAGTTCCCACATTCACACTTTGAAATGGCGTAAAATTACACAGAGCACTTATACGTCAGAGCCTATTGTTTGGCACAGGGACAGCGTCACTCTGAGAGGTTAACACAGATTTGTGTTTTTTAATGACGTTGTGTTAAATCGGAACAATACGATCCTGCTGTGACGGAAGAAGTTCCGGATAATTATCCACTAAAGACGTTTCAATTACGGGATGTTTCCAGCTTTCGAGGAGGCGGCCGTTCATTAATATCGATCGGGGGTGCGTTCATCTTTCACGAACCGCAGGTGTAACTATTAGCTCGGCTGTAAGAGCAGCGTGTGTTTCATTCATAAAAGAGCGAGGTGGTCGCTGAGTTCTCAGTGATTCTTATTCAGCAGGCACTTGGTGAGGCTCCAGTTTCCAACAGCAACAGTGCACGGTTGTTGAAACGCAGGTTGAGCTGCGTTTAATGTGACAAACAACTTTTTCTTTCCACGCTAAAAACTCCGTAAGTGTCCTTCTCTGCCTCAGCAAGCTCCCACCCTCTCCTGCTAATTATAATCTCTTTTAACAACCCCTGGGTGCAGAAAATTACCAAAGCCTTACCACACAAAATGAGTTTATAGCAATAATTCAATACCGAGCCCTTGAATGCTACAGAGCCGCCGCTGCGGGAATTAATCATTAAAGTCTGCGGGTGCTTCCACGCTGGGAGTTGATCCTTGGCTGGCTGAGCTAATTCGGCACTGTTTGCTTGTAAGGCCTCGTCGTTTTATGAGCATATTAGTAAAGGTAATGGTGAGGTGGAGTGTGCCCTGGTAGTTGGGGACAGGGTGGGTGGGGAGCGATGCACGGGTAAAATAAAAACATGAAGGGGGTGTAGTAATAATAAGAAGGAGAAGAGACCAAATTTGATTTCAGTCAGCGGCACAGAGCACATCTACCTACTCTGCCCTGCCTCCCGCCCTCTGTCCCCCAGCTCTCCGACACTAGACTGACTCCTAAAAACCTCTCTCCTCTACAGCTGGGTGTACTGGAGCTCCACTAAGTCGGGGCTCGCGTCTGCGGCTGGATCCTTAAAGTAGAGTGTGGCAGTGTCTTCCCCCCGCTGGCCCGTCCGCCGGGCCCTGTGCTCGGTCACCTCTTTGGGCTGCTCCTGGCGGCAGTGGTTGCTGTTCCACCAAGCCTCCAGCCCAGCCACCAGGCAGGCCAGCAGCAGGCCCGCGGCCAGGATGCAGAAGATGCCGGCGAAGCTGTGCAGCTTGAGGGAGCGGCCATCGGGGTGGGCGCTGGCGTGGCTGCTGAGGTCGCAGCGGCCGGCGCGGGGCCACCACTTCTGCTTCATGATGTCCAGGTCGCCTTTCTCCTGCAGCTCCAAGATCCTGGAAGAAGAGACGAGAGCAGCAGGTGAGATGCAGAGAACACCAATTAATCCTTCTTACCCGAAGGCAACAAGAACAGTCTGTGACCCTCGGGCGGGACGTCGCGCTCGCTGCTATGTCACACAGTCTTACTGCGGCGTCTCCTCTGCACACGCAGCAGAGTCGCAGTCGCTCTGCAGCGCCTAATAAATCCCAGCCTACCGTGAGAACGCACCTCAACGTCTTGCTTTGTCCAGCTCAGATAAATACAAGCGATTCTCCTGATTCTCCAGCTTTTATTTACATGAAGTGTGAGATGTGCCGAAGCACGGCCGACCAAAGGTGTCCGCTTAACACCGATTTCCTGCTTTCCAAAGACAAATACATCCAAACACACGTTTGTGGACGAAAATGTGTTTCTTTTTGTCTTTGCTGGCAAACAAACTACAAAGAAATAAAAGCTGGTGTTGACATTTCCAACCCGTTCTAGCTTCTTTCATGCTGTTAGATCTCCCGCTGCTGATGCACGGCGTCTGAAAACAGAACGACACAGGAGCGAGCGACCCACCGACACGTGTGCACCGATCACGCCTGCGCCTTACAACAAGAACATACAGTCAGGATCCAAAGTTTACGATCACCTGAAAAATGGCAACAATCACATTTTGCATGGTTGGATCTTAATGAGGTTCCAAGTAGAGCTTCAACCTGCGACAAGAAGAAACCGACAATGTTCAAAAAAGGAAACTTTTTTTGCCTTTGCCATCAGAACGTGGTGACTACCTGACAGAAAATGACAATAAATCCACATTTTTGGCCTTTTAAAGCACGTTCAGCCTGTTTCAGTTTAAGTGTTGCTCTCAATAAATCGCAGGCTCAAAAAAACCTCCCATTTCTTCTTGTTGCATGTTGAAGCTCGACTCTGAGCTTTGTTAAGATCCAACAATGCAAAATATGAGTTTTGGCCATTTTTCATGTGGTCTTAAGCTTTTTTTTTTTTATCAGGGCTGTATTAGTAACGTTACACTTTGCACTGATAACAAAGAAAGTGTAGAAGGTACAACAGTTCAGACTGAGTCAAAGCAACAAAGAAGAAATAACAGGACAGAGGGAAAGTGCACAGACTGAGCTTTAAGGATGCTGTAAAGGAAGCACAGCCTCTGAAAGGGACGCCCCCCGTCAGCCACTGTAAAACGAAACTAAATATAACAAATGTAATCACATTCATCTCTTTCACTTTGTCAGGTGCGCTTTCATAAGATGTAACTGTCTAAACATCAGTGTGTGCTTTTAAATCCTCCCCTCTCGTTACGGTCGGAGCCTGTCGATGCTCTCGGCTGTTCTCGGTATCCCATCGTCCTTCATCTCCGTTCGACCTCGCGCCCTTTTTACTCAGGAACACGTCCTGTTTCTGAAGTCATGGGAAAACTGGCCTGCAGGCCTGTGAACTGCTGTACAAGACTCCGCAGGCTCTGAATAGACACATTTTCAGCTGAGAGAAGCATCGATTTTTTTTCCCATTAAGATCTGATGAAGTAGATCTGATCTGCAGAGGCAGTTTTTACACTTGGAACAAATTAAAGCTGATGATTCAAAACTAGAAAAAGCATCACAGCGAGCAGCTGCGCGTCCGCGTGGCCCAGTTTACCTCGCGACATTAACCTACGACGAGAAGAAGAACAGACAGTTCGGAGAAGGCCGAGACTTTCTCGCTCTAATTATTTAAATTTGCCAAAAAATCCCACAATAGGCCCGCGATGTACCTCGGTACGGAGCGATGTACCACGGTACGGAGCGATGTACCACGGTACGGAGCGATGTACCTCGGTACGGAGCGATGTACCACGGTACGGAGCGATGTACCTCGGTACGGAGCGATGTACCTCGGTACGGAGCGATGTACCACGGTACGGAGCGATGTACCTCGGTACGGAGCGATGTACCTCGGCTCATCACGGCTGTAATTTTGTCATTGCCCGGGGGGTCATTATGGGCCATTACACCACGTGTTACACGGTGCTAATCAATGTTATAGACGAGGGGAGGCGTTCCAAGATTCAGACTTTTCCATGAAATGAGATTGTGAACCATCGAATTCAACGCGACGGGGATTTCGCCGTCGTTGAAAAATAATCACGGCGCATCAATCGTAAGCTTCTGCACTGAGCTCCTTTCCCCCGCTGAGGCTAAATGCAGGTGATGATTTGTGGCTTCATCCTTTCAGCACAGCAGCTGGATTTATTTGTTGTTCCGCCCACGATGACTCAACAGTCTGAAACCAACCAAAGAGCAGAGAATAAGGTCTTTGACGTGACCGCCGTCGTAGGGATCATGTGACAGGGTCTTTGCCTACAGTGGGGAGATAATATTTCATCTCCTGCTGAACGTCCAAAGAGCCTCTAAGTTTAATGGTAGTTTTATTTTAATGGAGAGACAGAATATCAACCAAGTCCAGAGTCCAGAAAAATGTGTTACGTAAAAGTTATAACCTGATGCGTATGTGACGGAGCGACCCACAGATTAGCCGAGTGCTCACGTGAGTTACAGTCAATCAGTTGGAAACACTCCTGAGTGTCTGGAGTGTGGGGCCTCCCTGCTGCTGCGGAGTCGGGGCGGTCTGCCTCTCCCCACCGCAGGGAAAAGGG